TTATTTGAAATAACTGTTCAGTACAGAAATGAAGCCCAACAATCATGTTTTACAGTCCTGTGGTCTCAGCCTCAGATACTCAACTAATCAAAGTGATGTCATGACAAAAATGAATGACCAACAAAACATTTTTTCTCCTTCATTTCTGTCACACAAAGCTGTATGAGACGTTTCTCACGGTTAGTATCATGGTTGCTAGGCAACCTGAACAGCGCGACGAAGGCTAGACCGTCCCATTTCACACGCCTCTCACTTCCGCACTTCTCGTACTTATAGTACGCACCGTACGTAGTACGCGTAGTGCGCGTAGTACGCGTACTTCAAGCGTGCAGACCCTGAAATGGGACACAGCCTAACACTAACTACAATGAACGAAGAACACCAGACTCTTTCAAAATAAAACAGGAAACACAGAGACATAGACATGGAGATAGAACATGAACTTAACCTAACCAGAGACATGAAACATGACAGGTAGACACACGGACCAGGGGGCGATGAAAAACCAAGAAACCAAGGACTAAACTGCACACTAGAAAACAACTAGATGCGTTAAACTACACATGTGGATACAAAAACAAGCGTTAGAACTTAAACCCTGGGCCAAAAAACGAATAAAAGAGCAGCTTGTGAGGCGTGCATGGACAGTAGTGCGAATGACCGAACCTGGCAACACCATTTGACAACACCACTTTGTTTGGTGTTCTGATGTTTATGGCAACAAATATAAGCAAACACAAGCTGGAATGACATGTTTTTACTCCAGTATACTGTTAGTAGCTGGTTTAGCTTAAATGGGAAATAGAAGGATTCGTATATAGCTTTATTTGGTGCATCATTCATCCATTAATACAACCACTTTTTGCTACACCCAAGTGCTTTCTTTCTAACACTCCAGAGTAACTAGTTCAGCATGCTCAGATCGATATTCACATATTTTGGCACACAGCCTGGAGTAGCCAGGGATTGAGCCACCAGCCTTATCCTTAGCCTCCTCTATCCAGTGAGCTACAGCCAACTGTGAGCTTATTGAAGGCATTAGAGGCACATACTATGATACACATACTACATACTTTTTGTATGTGGCTTTAATCCAAGGAGAACATGACACTGCATTTGCAGGGAGGACGATGAAATTAATATAATATATACGGAAATCCAAAGAATTAGAATTTATATGAAAGGCTTTTTAAAAACATATAGATGTTGTGTGTGTGATGATGTTCATGTTTTGTTCAGACTGGCCCACCTGTTATAGGGAGGAGAAGGGATCCAGACACAATAAAGTAACATTTCTGGGGCAGTGCTGCTGTGTATATGCATCCCAGGAATGTAGTAGTCATTTACAGTATTTGAAGTAAAACTCTGATCCAGTTGAATATTTCAATTTTGGAGGTCGAGTGTTTTCTCAATATGTGCGCAAAGGCAGGAAATCTCTCATCAACGGAACCACCCAACCCTCCCATCAGGTCCCTTACCTCCATTTTTCATTGGCATTAAATACTCATACAGTGTGAACTTGGAATAATTAAAGGAATGTGGGAAAGCATATTTAAGTTTTTAAATGTAAAAGCTATAATAATGGAAGTGCATCATACGATGAAGTCATCAGCTGCCGGAAAACATGATTGGAGATTTTTCAATGCAGAGTGCTACTCTGTCAGAAACATGTCCTCCATGTTGCAGGTTGTCGCAGTCCCTCCCTTTGATCTGCTCTCAGCGGGTTACTTCATAATGATCTCTTCAAACCAGCAGGAATGGGAACGGAGATAATTCACCATTATCTCTGTAATCATTTCTGCAGCTTACATAGCTAAAATAGTTCACATGTATTATTTAACTCCACATTTAAGCCATTTCATTGTGTAGCAAGAACATTCGACAACATGATGTCCAAAAATCAAGAGCAAAGTTTAAAGGAACTCGTCCAGCAAAGTCATATTTTAGGGAGTTCTTCCACCTGAAGGGAACGAACCCTAGTCATGTTTTGGCTAACCTTTCAGAATATGACTGGCTGTATTTGGAACTGGGTGCCATTGGAACCAACTTGGAACCAACTTGGAACCACGCCTTAAACACACATCTTTGATGCTTATGGAACAATGGTAAATGGCCTGTATTTATATAGCGCTTTACTAGTCCCTAAGGACCCCAAAGCGCTTTACATATCCAGTCATCCACACATTCACACACTGGTGATGGCAGCTACATGTTAGCCACAGCCACCCTGGGGCGCACTGACAGAGGCGAGGCTGCCGGACATTGGCGCACTGGCGCCCAGCGCCAATGTCCGGCACCACCAGCACCACCAGTAGGCAACGGGTGAAGTGTCTTGCCCAAGGACACAACAACCGAGACTGTCCAAGCCGGGGTTCGAACCGGCAACCTTCCGATTACAAGGCGAACTCCCAACTCTTGAGCCACGACAAGAACCAGGTAACAATGTTGTTACCTGGTTCTTGTTGTCAAATAAAAAAAAGTAAAATAAGCAAAAGCATTTGAGGAACTGAAAATTTCTACATGCGTTGCTAAATGCATCCCTTGCTTTGCTCATCTCTGCTTCTGTGAGGCTGACTTAGAGCAGCGCTCTGCATTAGCATAAGTCCTCTGTTTGAACTCCTGCTGCCACCACCTCTATTAACAGACCCTGATTCGATATAAGAGTGCCGTTGCTCAGTGTCAGCTCAGATCCTAACAAGATAAGAAACTTCTTGAGAGTTCTTGGATAAGTTTAGCTCACTGACAGAAATTTAAAAAATAAAATAAAATATATATATACACACACACAATCACTGCTGTCTGCACACTTGGTGGTCTCCCGGTAGCAGTGTGAATTATTTTATTTATTTCAGGAGAGATCCCCGACCTGTTCCAAGATGACGAGGTGGAGAACGTCATTGGCAGTGTGCGTCCAGAGGTCCGTGGCTCTGGGTTGATGGATACGAAGGAAAACTGCTGGAAGTTCTTCATCAGTCGGGTTCGCCGACAGCTCAAGGTGAAGCAGTCCGACGCTTAGACATGCACAGGAGTGAAAGCTGTGTTTTTTTGCTATTTTGAATTTTACTTGTTATTATCAAGTTGCTCTCAGGGGCTCCCTTCAAGGGGGAACGTTTCCATTAATCTTCCCCACACAACTGCATCTGTATTTTATCTCCATCCACTCTTAATAGAGCAATAACTTGCCGCCTCACACTCTAATTTACTATTCCTAAATAAGAAACCCCTCATACTTGGATAAACATCCAGCTTTAGGATGAAGCCTCTTCCCAAACAATTTTCTATACTGACATTTTCAGATGAACTTGAGTACAATGGGAGGTGTTGGATGTCGTTATAAATCGCAGACACGGGCAGAAAAGCCGGCGTTTAGCTGAAGTTAATTTCACCATCGCGTAGCCGCTTTGTTCCCCCTAGAGAGGGACGGATTCCAAAGCTTTGCTTATTCTGTCATTATTACAAGCATGCGCCACCGCCACCACCCACATCATCCTCCACTCCTGTCTCGCTAACAGCTCAAGCCTCCCTGGGTTGGCAAGTGGATAAATAAAGAAGGCAATCCCAAGGGCACGACATATCAAGAGTGCATTTCTAACGATGCAGTTATGTGTCTCAAAACTGTCTGAATAGAAAGGATGTTTTCCCGAAGAATTACCTAATCGTCTTCATAGAGTTTGTGTGACATTTGCTGAGGCTTTGTCTCTGAGCTGAGTGAAAACCTAACAGCATTATTACTTCATCACTGCCACAGATTAAAATGCTTTTAGATCAGTGATCCAGGCTTACAATATGTGGAGAAGGAAGTAACGGCATGATATCACAGCATCCAGTGATGCAGGCCTAGGATGTGCTCTGGATTGTCTTGAAGCCCATGTTTGCTGAAATATATAGTGGCTGTCCTGCTTGCAGCAGGTGTGACTTTATGCAAATATTTTGATCAGTCTGCCAGTTCTTCTTGGCCAAGTCATTATAATATTTTACTCTTTGAGACAGAAAATAGTGAAAGAATTTCTGGGTCAAAAATCTAACTGAGAGCATTTTTAAGCAGTCTGCTGTTCAGAAACTACTTTGCAACGTACCAGAGGTTAGAGTTGTGTTATTGCAAACACACAACACTACATGCATGATAAATGTTGAGACAAATACTTTGTGGCAGGAAAGTATTTTGAATAGTGTGTATTTTATTTATGAACTGAAAACCAGAGCGTATCCTCTCCTACCTCACAGACTCTAGAGAGGATTTATCAGAATCAGATCAGTGCAGAATACGACACTATTTTTTACCCTTATTGTTTTAAAGAGCAAATATTGTGCTCATTTATAGGCTCGTAACCTTGTTTTTGGGATCGACAGTAATACGGCTGAGCGGTTAATACCACTGTGTGCCAAATGACTGTGACTGTTTTGGTCCCATACTGGACCATGTCATAGCACATTACCTCTATTAATGTTAACCATTGTATTATATTTTGATGTAGTACCGTGCAAAAGTCTTGAGTCCACCCTCAGCTCTTTATATTTTGCTTCCAGAGAGCCAACGTGTCTTTCAATTTTCAGTTCAATTCAATTCAATTTTATTTA